CCCCACGAGGTCAAGAAACTTGTAAAGTCGTTGGTCACTATTTATAAATTTGACCTGCAATTTACTACGTCATTTCTTTGTAAGGGCCTGCACGGTTCTCAGTCGAAGCAAAGATTCTTTAAAGTCTTTTGTCGGAGTAGGTCGCTTCCCGGGTAGCCCGTCTCACACCCTATATATGGCCTACACGCTTTCAGGGTTAATATTGCCCAGGCCTACGCTTTATGATTTCGCCGGGTTTCGTCAGGTTTCACAAGGTTTTGTCAGGTTTCAACGGGTTTCGACATTTTAGGCTATTTTAGCAGACCCGATGAGAATGCACAGATGACTGTGTCTGTGGGGCGCAGATCCTAAAAGTAATTTTCTTTTTGGACCAAATTTTGTTCATCTTTTGTCTTGACACTACGGGCTAGTGTGGTTATTCTTCACTTTTGCATGCAGGAAACCGAAGAAAGTTCTTTTTTTGTTTTTTTTTGTTGGTGTTTTATACGACGCTCACAATTGCACAATAGAGTAGAGTCGGGGTAACTTCGCCACTCTCAGTTGGCTCATGACGAAACAAGCCTACAGTACACCCCTCTCTCTGCTTAATGTATATGACCCCAGTTTCATCTGCAACTTTTTGTAGCCAATGAAAATGCAGATTGTCCACTGATTGGTTTGCTTGCTGGTACTAGTCGTATTTCTCCTGCTGCATCCTTTTTTCGAAGTCGATGTGGTGATGTGAAACTTCGTCACCATACTGGGGAAATTTGCCATACTGGGATATCGTCTAATTTCATTATATGTAGATTACTAAATATGCATCTTAAAACTGATCAGTAAACTATTTGTCTTGACAATAACAATATTAACAATAGGCCTGGTGAGAAACTCAGAAAGGCTGATTCAACAAGTTCCAGTTTCAGTATGATCTGCTTTGTCATTGATCATAACTCAAAAGCACACTTGAGTGTATGAAAAAAGAATGCAGAATTGCATCCTCTGTAATGGTTTGTTGATAAGGAATTTCAGCTAAGTAGATACGGTTTTTATGTTCATATCACTTTTTTTTGTCATTGCAACTTTATCAGTATGAATAGAGAAGTTTAGTTTAACAGGCTTTTTCAAACTCAAATAGTGACTTGTATTTCTGTTTTTTGAAAAGAGATTTATGTCATTCTTAGCTATTTTTTCTTTTTCTAGCTGGTTTTAAGTATCGTCCTTTTAAAAAAATGTTATTTACTCAATGCCCTGTATGAATTTTTTGGAACTGTTTGGCTTTTTTGTTTGTATTTTTTTTTTTCTAGAGGAACAAGTGACAAAACTCATGTGTCATGGCTACATATTTGACCTCTATCTCCCTCCCTCCCTCCGTCC